ATTACATTACAAAGTTTAACATTATAAATTGACATGTTTATAGGGGTTTTCTTTCACCAACGTATATGGGGTACTTAATTTCATATAACTCTTGGTCTTGGAGAAATTTTCTCCAAAAAGAGTCTCTTGGAGGAAAAAGTGACATGATTTTTTTTTTTTAAATAGCTTAATTAGTACCATAAAACAACATTATGGGCGAACAATATATCGCGGTATATTAAGCGAAATTATAAGACATAATATTCGGACAATGTTATCTATCAAATTGACAAAATCATACTTTGTTACAACAGAAAGATGACTAATTGTAAATGTGTAGTCAGAAAACATATGCAATTCAACATCATATATACTATAGGTTTGTTTACAAATTGTGCACTATTTTATAAAAAGGTTTCGATTATATAGCATATGATCGTGAGATATATATCCCTTTGATTGTTTTTTTTTTGGTATGAATCCCTTTGATTGTTTTCACTGTTAAAATCTCTATCTTGTCTTTTATTCCCCCAAAAGCAATTATTAATTTTCACCACATGATTATACTTTGAAATCATTCCATGTCCCCAATTTCTTTCACCTTTATCGTTCACATTGATAGGTTGATCAACTTAAAATGTTAATACTGTATATGCGTCGTGATTAACAATTATTGAATTTACCACATTTACTTGTACTTGTTATATGACCTAATTATAAGAACGTCTCTATGTCAATCAAACGTGTATTATATTATATCTATTGAAAGCTTGTAATAGGGTAAAACATTAACTTCAGATAATTGTAAGAAACATGGAAGAGTTTAGTATTTAATTTAGTTAGTCATTCGCATGTGATTATATACCTAAAGCCTAAACGTATAGATTTCAATATATAGTTAGCTAACAGAATGAGCTTTTTATTATTAAATATGTTTTTATAGCTTTTAGCCGCAATATCTTCTGTAAATTTAGTATGTCTCCGACCCCAATCTTAATATAATAATTTTTAAAAGACAATGAAATTATAAAAATACTAATGATATAGACCTTGCATGCGTTACGCGTATTCGTACTGTTCGTTTATAATATACATTTTAATAGTAAACAAATTCATGTCGTAATTTTGTACTTTACTTTTTTCTGCTTTTGAAATATACTATATTTCTTCATTAAAATATGTAGAAAACAGAAATAATATTACTAGTAATTAAGGGTTGATGAGAGCATGTTCAAAAAGTTAATGGTGCTCATTTGCTAAATGATTACTCTCGTGGGTACATTAA